TAAAGAACCGCAGTTTCACATCCAAAGAACCGCATGTGGCTCGCGAGCCGCAGGTTGCCGACCCCTGTCCTATACACACGAATGATACGTTTTAATCATGCTATAACCAAAAGTTAATACACTCATTAATAATCTTTGGTCCACCATAACGAAATATTTAAATAAAATTGATTTATATTAGTACCCCATGCTTAAATGATTTTTTTTCTTCTTTTTTTTTTTTTTTTATTCTTTTCCTAATTTGTGCTTTTATTTTTAATAAAAATATTCAAGTGCATTTATCAATCGATTATTAATCAATCTTGCCCGTTACTTCATTAGATAGGCCTCTAATCAAATTTTTATTTCACGTTTAATTTGAACACTTTAATGGCCGCTTACACAACATGCATATGATAGCCAGAATATTGGCCGTTATTTTATTTATAACTTTATATGTAGAGTTAAAAAAAAATTGTTATTGTTAAATTGTTGTTTTTTGTTCATTTTTTCGTCAATGACAATAAAGTCTTTTTTTTTTTGAAATTAATTCTTGAAAAATATTACCGCAACCCTCTGACAACGTTTGACTGTTTACACGTGCGGCCATTAAAGTGTTAAAACAATTAAACATGAATAATGTCAACTTTACAGAAAAATATTTCTAAACTATTAATAACTATCCTAAATCTTTCGTACATAATTTATGATATGTACATACACGCTGATATATATATATATATATATCTAGAAACAAAGTATTTTGCAACGCTTATTTTTTTTTTTTTGTATCGAGATATGCTTATGGTATTTTAAATATACCTATAAGAAATGAAAAAATATTCTAAATTTATTCTAAATTACTTTTTTTCTTTTTTGTTTCTTTTTTTACTTTTTTTTTTTTTCTTCTTCATACCAACAACTTCTTCGTTTCATATCATTTGTACATTATTTCAATTTGCGCTCATATTTTTTATTTTTATTTTTATTTTTATTTTTATTTTTATTTTTATTTAAGCTCCTAAAATCTTTTTCACCGAATAACCAGGAATAGCGTAGAAAAATAGGAGTATGAGTACTATTAAACCTATCATTATCATAGCTTTCAAAATAGCCCATTTATAATTGTGCCAAACGATATATTTGATTGATTTTAAAGGATTCAGGAACCACATGAATGAGGCATCCGGTCGACTGTAAAAAAATAAACAAAGACAAATTAAACAATAAAAAGCAATTAATTGAAATCTCATAATACAAGGAAGATAAATTTAAATGAAATATTATTATTTCAAGTAAAATAAACTAACTTAGGTTTATCCAATGGGTCAGGTTCATTTCTACCAAAACCAGCAGGATTTTTTTCCGCTTCTTCTTTCGTCAATAAATGTATTTCAGCTTCAACCTTACCCTGAATATAAAAGATCCTTATTATTTGTTTTAGTATCTATATAATTAAATAATGTACTTTAATTAGATTTATTTGACAACACACCGTAAGTTCCATATCTTCGTTTTCCTTCTTCACGTAAAATGGCCACCAACCTTTAACTCGTTTCTGTTTAAATATATTAACCATTGGTACAGAACCATCCGTTTTTAACATACCAAGTGTACATAGTTTGCTATTTTTTGCACCACGTGGAAATCGATTAAGATCGAGAGTAATTGCACCCAAAAAATCGTCTGCTGAAAAATGATCGGCATCCCATACCTTTGAATACAAAATTATATCATCAATTTTTTATTAATATTATATGTTATACGTATTTTTATAACATTTGTTTCTTATTTCTACTTGTAAAATAATATTAGAGAAATTTAAAAAGAGAAAATTCTAAAATGTCACGTACAAATTTCAAACTATTTTTATAAATTCATCCCTTTTTTATATTGTATTTAAAAAAGGAAGAAAAAAAGGGATCGGAACGAATTGGAAAGTGTTTTTGAACAATAAAATATTTTTGTAAGTGCAGGTCAAAAAAATAGTCAGGTAGTTTTTATTTTTTCAAAAATAAAAGATAATCCTGTTGGGAATTTATTTACAAAATAGGAAATGGAAAAGCAATAAAATT